ATATACAGAAGTGCTATTCGGGATTATCACCTATCTCCATCCCATCCATCCGTGACAGTGACGGAGTTATCTGTAGCTCCCAAGAGGGGCAAGAGAAATGCTGGCTGCAGCATTTTGCCCGTCTATTGAACGTTCGCAGCACCTTCGATGCTACCATCTTTGACCACATTGAGCAGCGTGAAGTTGATGAGTCACTCGGCCAACTTCCCTCGCTAGAGGTCCTCACTATGGCTATACGCCAGCTGGCTAATTGCAAGGCTCCTGGCTCATCTGGAATTGCACCTGAACTGCTTAAAGCTGGTGGTACACCATTGCTTGAGGCTCTGCTTGATGTTATTCATACTGCATGGACCAACGGAATGGTTCCCCAGGATTGGCGGGATGCCCAACTCGTCCCGATTCCCAAAAAGGGTGACTTGACCAACTGCAACAACTGGCGCGGCATTGCCCTCCTAGATGTCGCTGGCAAGGTTTGTGGCCATCTCATTCAGGACCGTCTCCAACTTGTCGCGGAACAAGAACTTCCAGAATCCCAGTGTGGCTTTCGCCCTGGTCGCGGCTGCGCTGATGCCATCTTTTCCATTCGCCAGCTCATCGAGAAATCGTACGAGCACCGTCAGAAGCTGTTCTGTGTCTTCGTAGACCTGAAGAAAGCATATGATTCCGTACCACGCCAAGCACTCTGGCTAGCATTGGGGAGGCTAGGCATTCCTGAAGGGCTCCTCAATCTAATCCAATCGTTCCATGAGAGCATGCAGGCAGCTGTGCGCGTCGGTGCCAGCACTACCGAGTCGTTTGCGGTCAACAATGGCCTCCGTCAAGGCTGTGTGATGGCCCCAGTACTTTTTAATCTGTACTTCGGTGTTGTGCTTGAGCGGTGGGCACAAGTGATGCAGGACAGCGACCATCCACCTGGCATCCCCATCCAATTTAGCATCAATGGCAACCTTTTCTCTAAGCCCGCTCGCCAGTCTACTGCCGCAATCATCAATGACATTGAGTACGCAGATGACGCGGTCTTGCTCGCTGAAGACCGCCCTGGTGCTGAGAAGTGCCTTGAAACATTCTGCACGGTTGCCTCTTTGTTTGGCCTCTGCGTCAACGCTGCTAAAACGAAATTTCTCGTGGCAGGTAGCCAAGTCAACATGCCTGATAGAGCCGATATGAACGTCAACGGTGATACTGTGGAGCACGTTCCATCCTTCATTTATCTGGGGTCCGTCGTGACACCGGATGCCCGCTCCTCTACTGACGTCAGTCGCCGCATAGCTGAGGCTTCCAAAGCCTTTGGAGCTCTTCTTCCAGTCTTGTCGGATCGCTCGCTGTCATTAGTCAGTAAGCGAAAGCTATACGTGGCCTGTGTCTTGTCCATTTTGCTGTACGGCAGTGAGTGCTGGACGCCCTTGAAAGCTGATAGTAGACGTTTGGATGCCTTCCATCATCGCTGCATCCGCACAATATTAGCCATCCCTCGCAGTCAGCAGCAATCCGATCGCATCACGTCTGCGCAGTTACGTCGTCACTGGGGTGACCCAGTGCCACTCTCTGTTAAGATGCGCCATCGTCGTTTAGAGTGGCTTGGTCATGTGGCTCGGATGTCGGAGGACCGTGTCCCATTGCAGCTGTTGTTTGGTCGTTTGTTGGCTGCGCGCCCCTTCTGCGGTCCCAGGCGTAGGTGGAGAGACGTTGTGGCTACTGACACGAAGTCCATTCCAAACTGGTTTGATTGCGCACAAGACCGGTCAGCTTGGCGAGAGCAGGTTCTGGTTTTTTCAGCCTCCTCGGGCAGTAGAGAAATCCGTACTCTGCTCATCTTGCAACCGGGCTTTCTCTCGTCCTCAAGACAAGGCACGGCACAAGTGTTTGGCTGAGCGCCAACTTCCCGTCGACCAACAGCGTGGTTCAGCACAGTGCGTCAGTTGCTGCCGATGGTTCCGTAGTAAGGGTGGGCTTGCAGTTCATCGCTGCCAGCCTGCACTCCCTGAACATGCAGATACGGCATTGACGGCGTCTCTCGCTAGTTGCTGCTTCCAGCATTGTCAACGCTGCAATCGCTGCTTCAAGTCCCGGGCTGGTTTTAACCGCCATAACTGCAACCGTGGAAAACGTCTTGCTGCAGCCGATAGGGAATCACTGCCGCTGATCTGCATGCATTGCCCGAAACGTTTCCGACGACAGCAAGATTTGATGAGGCACCAGAAGTCCTGCCAATGACGGTGCACTCCAAACTCTGGCCCCCTCCGGGGGTGACATTAGAGAGGTTTTGCATTCCGAATTTCGGTACAGCGTTCTTCGGTCATTTGTCGAACATCAAAATGTCGAATTTTCGCACCAACGTTTGTTTTGCAAGTCATTTCGTGAGCCCCAGCATCAGCAACGTCCTGTCCCGTGCTCCATTTCTTGCTGATTCCAACGAACTTTGATCGCCGAAAGAGTCGAGGGCCAAACCTGCCCCCTCAGTCGCCTCAGAAAAACCAACTCCATGCCCAAGTCAAATGTTATGCGTGTCGCCATAGTCTTTTCAGCCACACAGATGACGGTGAGGACACTCCAGGCGAAAGAGAGTAGACAGGCAGTGGAGAGGAGCAATCAAAAGTAGCTGACGATGCTATGTCGCCAAAGACGCCTGCCAAGCGATGCCGAGATAAGAAACCTCTTTGAATAAATCACGCGCTAGCGCTCTTCTACAAGAAAATGCATCCGAAAAATATTTTCGGCAAAGTGAGCTTTTTCCGAACAAACACGCCGAATCTTCGTGTGCATTTTCGACCTCGTTCCCGCGTGTCGAATCTTTTTGCCGAATTTCGGAATGCAAAACCTCGCTATTGCCCAATGGGCAGTCATGCTATAGTAGTAGTAGTAGTAGTGTGTGTGTGTGTGTGTGTGTGTGTGTGTGTGTGTGTGTGTGTGTGTGTGTGTGTGTGTGTGTGTGTGTGTGTGTGTGTGTGTGTGTGTGTGTGTGTGTGTGTGTGTGTGCAGAGTAGATCTACACCAGAGCAGTTCACCAGTATTACAGTATTACAGTATTACTGAGTCAGTGAGTACTGTTTGGATGGCTCCAGTCATCAGGATTATGACTGTACAGACTAATGTCTAATACAAGGGGCATGTGGCAAGTACAGTGGAGATTCACGTGCCCAGTTCAATCAACCTGTAGCCATAGCTTGACAGTTTAGTCCTAATCAAGAGTACATGAAAACCAGAGTGTGCAGCTCGGATGGGTTGCTGTCACGGCGGAATTCCGTCATTACATCATTTTAGTGATGTAATGCGTACAAGCAGGATTCAAGCAGGTCTCTTTCTGCACAACTGCAGCTCAGTTGTACGCACTACGCCGTTTCCCGCCTCAGATCTGCGCCAAATATGATGTAATGACGGAATTCCGCCGTGACAGACACCCATAGCAGAAAAGGCCGCAAGCTGCACACTCTGGTGTTCCTGTACTCTTGGTCCTATTGGGCATTATAGCTGCACTGAATTCTAGAACTACATCTGGAAACTGAAGAAATCCAACGCCCCGTACAAAGTTGAATGGAGAAATAAGATCGCGCCCCGAGCATACTCCAACATCACAAAGCGGTGTTCCATCTGTACCAGAGAAAAGTACCACATCCTGAACACGCTAGGCTCACCATCCAGCCTCAACAAGCGCTCGGAAATGGTGTCCAAGTGCCGACACGAGAACAAGTATCTCCTAAAATACCACGGTGTCACCTAAATAATATGTCTCCACAGCCTCCTGCCCACATCATTCACGTTCACACACCTTGCTCATAACACCCTGCCCACATCATTCACGTTCACACACCTTGCTCATAACACCCTGCCCACACCATTCACGTTCACACACCTTGCTCATAACACCCTGCCCACACCATTCACGTTCACACACCTTGCCCATAACACCCTGCCCACACCATTCACGTTCACACACCTTGCTCATAACACCCTGCCCACACCATTCACGTTCACACACCTTGCTCATAACACCCTGCCCACACCATTCACGTTCATACACCTTGCTCATAACACCCTGCACACACCATTCACATTCACACACCTTGCTCATAACACCCTGCCCACACCATTCACGTTCACACACCTTGCTCATAACACCCTGCGCACACCATTCACGTTCACACACCTTGCTCATAACACCCTGCCCACATCATTCACGTTCACACACCTTGCTCATAACACCCTGCCCACACCATTCACGTTCACACAGCTTGCTCATAACACCCTGCCCACACCAGCCATATACATGTACACTACGCTAATATCACACTCCTGGCTCTAGACTATAGCCTCCTGCCCACAACATCCACACACATTGCCCACCACCTCCTGCCCACACCAGCCACACATTCTGCGCTAACATTGCACTGCTCGCCCCTGCCTTCAACAACCACACACTCTGCACATAGCCTCCTGCCTAAGATAACACTGCTAGCCCCCACATTCTCACAGCTTTTCATACCACCATCCCCAGGCATATATACTGGCATGGTCGGCACCCAATGTTCATGTTGCCTGATGATTGTGAGAGCATGAAACTTCAAGTCACAGCAAACAAGTCTTGATTGTCCTTGTTGTTCTGTTCTGTGCATAATACATGTATTGTGCAGCATTGATTGCATCTCATGTCCATGGTGCTACAGTGAGTATATGTTTGCATGGTTGAACCCGACTTCACTTTCACGTACATCTTGCATTTTACACACGGTTTTCTACATACCATAACTCTCGATACACCATACAGTAAAATCTATAACTAACGACCACCCCTTGGTGCCCGGAAAAGTGGTCTTTAGTGGCAGGTGGTCTTTAGTTAGAGGTTTGCACCGCGTGACCATATATGGATCCCATTATATGATATGTATGTCAAAATGCAGATAATACAATCCCCCACCACTTGCGTACTGACATTATTCTTTCAGATCATACAACACTTGGAGAGAGAGAAAATCAAGTTTTATTGCAGACATTAAATTCAGCTCCTACTTCTGAAGCCAGGAGTCAAGAGTTCCCTGTTGAAGCTTCTCTTTGCGCTGGGCTTCAAGTTTGTTCACGAAGGCACCAAGTTTCTCTACGTCCATTGCCATGGGAGACAAGCCACGCTGCAACGTAAACTGTTGCAATGTTGAGATGCAGGACAATGCTTCTTTGCCGGATACTTCTCTGACTTCTGTGGACTCAGTGGACTCTTCAGCATCACACTCATCCCCACTGGCATCGACCGCATCATCATGATCATCAGGCTCACCCCGTGCTTCTTGGAAGATTCTATTCTCCCAATCATCAGACAGAGTTTCGTTTGTTCCAAGCTCGTTGTCTATTGCTGCATAATCCGGCAATGTCTGATCTCCAAGGACACTCTCTGCAGCAGGGAGCTCGTCAAATTCAGGTTCATCCAACTCTGATGAGGGTGCTTCTACTGCAAATCCACAATGGCTGAAGCACTTCTGGATTGTTGTGGGCTGCACCTCACTCCATGATGCTGTAAGCCACATGATGGCATCCAGAACGTTCACTTGTTTGGCCAGTTCTGAAGCAGGTGTTTCTTGATCAATTCTTGCCAACAAGTGTTGCACAATGCGCCTTCTGTACCTCAGCTTCATAGCTTGGATTATCCCTGCATCCATGGGTTGCAGCCTCGATGTTGTGTTAGGGGGGAGGAATACTAACTCAACATGTTCAAGGTCGAGTGTTGGATGAGCCAGACAGTTGTCGATGAACATCAGGATGTTGCGTCCCGCTGCAGCAAACTTCCTGTCTAAAGACTTCAGCCAACTACGAAACAGATCCGACACCATCCACGCCTTCTTATTGGCCTCGTACTGCACGCCCAGCGCTGTTTTATTGACCCCTTTGAAGCACCTGGGGTTAGCCGATTTACCAATGACCAACGGCTTCAACTTCTCACCCATGGCACTGGCTGCTAGGAAGACGGTGATCCGCTCTTTGGATTGCTTACCGCCTTTGCACGAATCCGTTCGAACAACGAGAGAACGGTTCGGAAGAGTGCGGAAAAACAACCCGGTCTCATCCGCGTTGAAGATGTCCTTAGGATCGTACCCTTTGCACAGATCCCCAAGGCGTTCCTTCCAGCTGGTCACGTCTTCTTCTCGGACATCAGCGGCTTCGCCCGACAGCACAGCTCCCTTGATGTTTTTGCCTTTTTCCATGCTTCCAACCAGCCATTAGAGGCAGCAAACGGTGTGTCCTTATCCCTTGCCTTTGCGAGTGCCATTGCTTTTTTCTTGCAATAAACTTCCAGGCACAGGTATTCCGCGAGACCGCGCACTCGAGAACCACTTGAACAGAAGTTCATTTACATCCGCATACTGTCGTCTGTTGGGAGCGAGCTGCTTAGCATTGGTGTTTTCGCCAGACTTCCACTCCTCCATAATTTTGTCCTTGTTCATGAGCAAGGCCTGGATCTGGGTCTTGCCAACTCCCATTGCGAGAGCGATCGATCGTGCCGACTGTCCTTGCTGTGACTTCTCAATCGCTCGGACACGATCCTTCAGCACCAGGACCTTGCGGTGCTTCTTGGTTTCTGGCTTTCTTGACGCCATCCTCAACGAAAACGAAACAACTGCAATCCTAGTCCGATGATGACAACTTCCTTGGTCAAGTCGAAACTCGTCGAGCTAACTACAAGTCATGTATCAGTTGTTACTTATGCCATTCACGGCCTTTTATACCGGAAACGATACGACCTTTTGACCCGTATGTCGACTCACTGGGTTTCCAGAGCAGCGCTGGCCTGGCCAGGCAGTGGACTACAGTCCATTCCTTATAAGTGCGCACTGTTAGTAGTCACTATCGACTCCATCCTCATCTGTGTGCGACTACACCATGTACACTATGTACACCATGTACACCATGTACACCATGTACACCATGTACACCATGTACACCATGTACACCATGTACACCATGTACACCATGTACACCATGTACACCATGTACACCATGTACACCATGTACACCATGTACACCATGTACACCATGTACACCATGTACACCATGTACACTGGCAACTGGTATCAGTGTGTAGATCTACAGACAGTCAGTGGAAACGCAGTCGCTGCTCAGACTTGGATGTAGTGTAGCGTAAACTGTACTGGTGTGTACCAGTACTCCATCTACATGTACGTGATGCGGCGATGTTGCGAGTTTTCGCACCTTCACTGTAGACTATAGTATCCGCCATCGTATCCTGGCCTGTGTTCCGTACAGGTGAGTACATTATACCGTAGCACGCTAGCTAGCCAGCACAGACTGTCAGTGTGACCTGGTGACTGAGCTGTGTGATTGCACTTCGACAGAGAGCCGCTCAGTCTTAGTTTCTCCTTCGAGTAGTAACATCGATCAAAGAGCGCTTTGGATGCGCTCTCCAAGACGTTTCCTATGATGTTTGTTCTTGACAGCACCTGAAATTATGACAGGCGTAGTGCAGTCCACGCTGATTCCACAGTCAAAATGAGACTGCGTTCATTTGTCCAGCTGCAGTATCGAAACAGTCCTTTGAAGACCATGGAAAATCATCAACATTTCGAGAAGGAGCTTCGATCAATGTTTGATTTCCTACATCGCGGTCGCTAGTTACGGGTCAAAATTCGACATTGGGACAAGAAAAGGCGGTCGCTGGTCGCGTTCAGCAGGTAGTCGCTAGTCACAGTGCATATGAATGTGAGACCGTCCGTGCCTGACGAAGTGGTCGGTAGTACCAGGCCGGTCGCTAGTCACGGTGCCGGTCGTTAGTTACAGGTTTTACTGTAATTTTTGCGTGGTCCTACAGATTACGTTATTATGGAGAGTAGAACTATTATCACAACGTGCTTTGCACTTCTCTCACTAGGTACTGCGCTTTGCTTCCTTCTTTTATACTGCTGTTTTTTCCATTTCCACTTCATTCCTGATGATGGTCATGAAGACCGAAACGTTGAAACGATACCTGTAATGGATTTGGGTGAAATGCAGTGCTCTCTTGAGTGTAGGCAGCTTGCCTGCAAACCATTCAAGTATAATGAAGCTGCGTGAAGCGTCCTTCAAAATTTTAGAACTATTATTATTATAGATATTTGGAACACCATATGTTCTTCAAGTTAGTCCTGTTTTTCTCTGGTCTCAGCGCACACATGCATGCACACGCACGCACACACATACACACACACACACACACGGGCGCGCGCACGCACGCGCACACACGCACACACACACACACACACACACGCACACACACGGGCGCGCGCACGCACGCACACATATACACACACACACACGCACAGTACTCACTTGTGTATGCCGAGTTTCACCAACAGTCGTCTACAAAAGAGGGGAATGTAGGAATTTCCGATACCAAGCTTCCAAGTGCAGTTTCCAGCCCGCTCTAACGCCAAGTCCATGCACGGAAAACCGACACGTTCCGCTATGACAACTGAGAAGCAGTTACTCAAACTCAACCCGACATCCTGAACACGACTGGATAAAACACTTGTGACTCAGTCCAGAACGTCGACGCGTCTTCCAGCTAGCTTGCTGCCGGCAATTGGCACGCCGAGCTTGAAGCTCCTCAAAGAAAAAAGACAACCGATTTGCGGTATGCCGGAGCGGAGGGCCAAGCCGAACCTGGTCGGGCGGAAATGACGTTCCGTCGTAGAGATCCTCATCGCTTGTACTACACTGTATGTAGATGTACTAGTACGGGTGCAGGCACAAGTCCACCCCATATGCTCATGTCTCATGTCGTGCCATCCAGCAGGTGCTACATCACTGATTATGTAGACCTACTCTGCGACCATGTACGGATATTGGGAGATGGGTGATGGACATGCACGTACACGTATACCTGTGTACGGCGGTAGAATGTACGTGTATGCCGGATTGTTTGCTGGTATACTGGTAGCAGGTCTACTGCAGCCGGTATGCGATATGACCAGGCGCCTAGGCCCTGTTCCGGCTTTCAGCGTTATCGTTTCTTGCTCAAACCATGCCTCCTCACTCACCTCCAGCTAGCTCCGTCAGCTAGTCATAGTGCTGTCCGCGGATTCCTACCGCGGATCCGCGTCTACGCTCGTCACCAACCAGGAAAGCCGGGTCATAAACATACATGTGCGTCATGTAGGACTAGTAGCTCAGCATGAGCAGTAGTGCGTGCGTGTGAGTGAGCGACATGGAGAAAGCTACACTATCCTGTTACCATGGTTACTTGCAGTCTATCGATTATCGGTCTCTACATTCAGGAAACCGGTGGGAAAGGTAATAAGTCGACCTCATTGTCGGATGTCGAAGGCGAGAGCATCGTTCCTCTACTCCGACATGGTTCCAGTTCTAGTGGTGGTCATCAATTCCTTTCTTAAGACATTGCCGTCTGTTGCCTGTTCTAGTGAAGTTATTGGCAGTATTGCTTTTCCAACTGTGTACTGCAGCATGGAGGCAGGAGCAAGCTCACTTCCTGCTGCAGTGAAGAAATGCCATGACCGTCTGTGTGCTGCTTACAGCAATGTGCAGTTCTGCATTGAGGAGACCAATGTAGAGAAAGAACGAATCTTGCAAATGGACGAGCTTTATGCTGATCTCCATGTAGTGTCGAAGCAGAAGTTAAACGCTAGGATGCGTGAAGCAGAGAGACTTGGCACAACTGCGGGCAATGAGCATGCAGTTGGCTCATTCATTTGCGTCTGAAGCTAGGAAGGTGCGCAAGATGAAACTTGCCGGAATCCTCACTGTCAGAGACAGATTTTGTGCCCTCTGTCCAGAGCGAAGCACTTTTCGTCCAGAATGACACCCAGATATCATAAATTATGTGCTGCACCATACACTGCTGTAATGTACGTGTCAGGAATTCTGTCAGAGTGAGTTAGAGTCGCGTGCAGTGAACAACGTGCGTTGACAAACCATAATGATCCAATGCACACTGTCCAGTAATGTCTTTACCGCCGTCGGTCAACTGTTCTCGACTTGTACAGGTAGTAGAGGGGATTTCCCCTATCCGAACACCTGACATGAACTGTATGTCTACTACACTGTGTAGTACTGGCTCCTGGGTGAGAAGAGCAAGGAGTCATACGCGCAGGTTATCTCCTTGCTGCGCTGTCGCCTTGAGTTTGCCTTGGTGCGTTGTGGTGCCATGTGCCTGCGTGGCTCAAGCCAGAGTCAAGGAGCATGTTCGCTCCTGCCCTGCTTGAGTCCTAGGCTCCGGCGGATTATGCTCGCGAAATCATGGAATTATGCTTTCATGGATTCTCGCATTATGCTCGCAAAGTCCTCATAATATTATGCTTTCGCACGCGCAGATACATATTCACTTTGTTGTACTTATGGAGCCTCAAAGGTCGGAAAATTGTGCTTTTATGGTACTTGCAATTGGCCATAAGTACAACAAAATGTTACAGGAGTATCGCCATACCAAGGTGTTCCTCCATGCTAGAGATCAACATGGAAAAGAGAAAACATTACTTCTTCTCAGTATTCATTGGTTGACTTCTTTTCAAAAGATTTTTTATTGTCAAATTAGTTTGAGTTACCTTTGAAAAATATCATGTGCAACTGTCTTTGTGATCGCCATACTCGTCCAACCGATGACCGATGTCACCCTCACCCTGCGAATAATCAGGACATCTCTCCCGTAGCTCCACCTCTCCTTCCATCATGACCAAACATCAACAGTTACTATACCTCTTCAAGTTTAAACATAATAATTATTAGAGCGGCAGAAAAATTGGTAGAATTCAGTACTTTTTCTGGTAAGTTTCATGCAGGTTTGGTATGTGGATAAAGAAATGGAGCAGAATTCGAGGAATTGCCCGCCATACGGTTTGTATGGTTGTGCCAATTTCACTACTTTTCGAGCAGAATCTGCCACCTTTTCGAGCATTATCCGCACACCCCTACGTCATGGTACAAACCTCATACGATGAAGTCTAGACTACAATTATAGCAATATCGAGTGAAATCATGAAACATCTCAATAGTCTATAAAGTGTAAGAAACCGTACATGGCAGGAAAAGAGCTACTGTAGTAGCTGCATCCCCTGTACTACACTCTTGATAAGTAGGAATACAGCTGCTGCTAGCTTTGCACTATCGTACTACATGTAGTAGAGTGTTTTACTTGCACACTGAAATGCACATGTACATGCACATGGAGTTACACGTACGAGATAGTTTTTTGGTC